GTAGCCGCGCGGCACGGGGTTCGAACTAGCCGGCATTTAAAAATGGCGCCGGCCGGCTTCATGCAAATGAAGCACGGGAAATTCAAATCCCGGGCTTCATTTGCAATTGCGGATGACTACATTACCCCCGCTAGTTCGAACTAGCGGGGTAGTGTAGACATACCATTAGGGGGAAGAGGGAGCAAAGAGGCCAACTGCCCCAGGGCTCAGTGATTCAAGGGGTCTGGAGCTCCCTTAAGCAACCAAAATTGCAGTAGCAGTGGCTAGAGTCCTGGGCCCTTTAAAATCGCCTCTTTGCACCATCTGGCAGTGCCCATTTCCCTCTTACAGAGCCTTCTCTCTATCACTGCTTTGTTTCCTATTTGTTATCTCCCAGAAGTCTCCTTGGAATTGAGCTCTATGCAATAAGGCAGTATAATATCAAACTGAGGTGCATATGATATTTAAAAAAAATAATACATACCTCCCTTATTCTCCTCAGAAGAGCAAAATGAAAGGGGATAATTAGGAGAGAAAAAAGGAAGGGAAAATGGGAACCGAGAAGAAGAAAGGGAGGAAAAGAAGAGATGATGAACACAGAGAATAGAAGAATCCTTACATACATTTTAGCAATGCCAGGTATGGGGAAAATTTGGAAGAACGGCCAAAGTTCTAGTCACAGTCACTTATTTGTATATATTTAATAATTGGGCATGTGTTTTTTAAATATTTGGATCCTCTACTGTTGCAAATAGGCATAATTCTGTGAATGTCAGTGGAGCTATATGAGTTTACATTAGATGATGAGCTACCTCTTGAGTTGTTGCATAGTAATTTATGGGGGTGATGTGATGGTATATATTGTGTACTTGGCTAGCAATGGAACAGTGAATAATTTCACAATAATTCATTCTTTGGAATATATTTTGGTTAATTAAAATACTGTATGTATCACAAGTATGTGTGTGCAAAAGGGAGAGCATATGTAAGCGTTATAAGAGACATTTTAGGCAGTTTCATCATCTCAAGAACATTTAACAAAGTTCTGCCACTAGGATCAGGTGGACACGTTGGATTTGACTTGGTAATTTCCGTTCCCATTTTCTTTGTTCCTGTTCAATTGTGGTAAAGCGTAGCTCAAACTCTAGAACAGTGTTTTTTCAACATTTTCAATTCTGTGAATCAAATCATAAAAGACCCTTTTCAAGACCACCTTGATTCCAATACCTAGTCAAGCCTTACTTGATCCTCAAAATATTTCTATATGACGATTATCATGATCTATTGGCATTCCATAGAACATAGGTTGAGAGCCACTACTCTAGACATGCAGTGGTGGATCGTATAATCTCACATGATGTGCCACTTATTCTTGTGACGGATAATTTATTTCTCACATTATTTCAAAGTAATGGCTCACAGTCAATATTTCACAGGAACATCATATATATGTTATGAAATACTTAGATTTCTCCTCAGCAAGATATCCTCAGGTAGCAGCCACACAAGATAATTCCTGACCTGATGCCCTTCCGGACCTGGTTCCAGCCAGCCTTAAATGCGATTCAGCATCCACTCAGTGTGGATGCATTATTTCAAAATAGCAAAATGCTATTTCAGAATGCATTTTGTATGTAGACGCGTTATTTCGAAATAACTTATTCTGAATTAACTATTTAAAAATAAGATATTTTGAAACAACGCTGTAGTGTAGACATACCCTGTGAGTTTATGCCTTCTTCTCCCTCCATTTACTATCTTGCACTGTGCCCAGAGACTTTTCTCTGTGTTTTGTTTTCCTTAGTTGCTCTGTAATATTTAGCTACCAAGTATGCTTTGCTTTGCTCCCGGTGCCTCTGGTCTGCTGGGGACCATCTCCAGCAGACCAGGGACACCGGGAGCAAAGGAGGCGGAGGGGCGCTGGGGTATAAGATGAAACCCTATCTTTTAATTAAAAAGATAGGGGGTCGTCTTATACACCCAGTCGCCCTATACGCCGGAAAATACTGTAGTCAATGCAAATTGCACCGACTATTCGATTAGTCAATTATTCGAAATCCCTAGATGGGGCTAGTTGAGTGGATGAACTGAAAGCTAGATGCAGCTGACAGCTGTCAGTGGGTGCGGCTACCTGGGAAAGACTGGGACTGACACTAGACTCCTTCACCTTTCTCTCCCCACCATCCCTTCCACTTGCCTGCTATTTCCAATGGGACTTTCCCTGGGTACGTCTACACTACAACGTTAATTCGAACTAACTTAGTTAGA